AGTCAACAGAAAGCGGTAAATGAGGCAAAAACAATTATTTTTGCTTAAATTTACCTCTCCACTTCCTTCATCCAATCTTTTGCTCCCCCAACAAGGACAAAAAGAACCACCAAATACCTAAGGCATTAACAATTTTGGTTGCCATTCTGTGACTCCTCCTCCTGGGACATGTTTGATTGGATATTGCACGAGGACTGAACTGGCCTTGATTGGAGTATTGCTGCCAACATATTGTGTTGGTCACGGCCCACAGACACCGTCTGGACTCAAACGGAGTCACAAACAATGAGGCACTAAGAGGAGAAGGGGCCAGCATGACACACTATCAAACTCCAGCAAAATGTCAGCCCGATTGGGAGGGAAAGCTGGCAGACAAAGAAAACATTTATTCAAACACGGAATGAGAGACTGAGACAGCTCAGAAATAAACTGCTATGTCTCATATGTTTACGTCAGCTCTTTACTTGAGCTATCCCAGTCCCCAACTCTTTCCCCATTGCTCTGTAAACATTTTCCCTTTCAAAATTTCAACTCTTTGTCACATTACCCAGTGGCTAAAAGCACGACAGAATAAAGTGGTTGGCTGCAGATGATTCTACAGCCACTTCATAAAACACGTAAGGGACTTAAATGTATAAAGATTGTTCACCCCGTGGAGAGTCTAGGACCAGAGGGCATTATCTCAGAACAAGGGGTCACCCATTTTAGACAGAGACGAGGAGGAATTACTTCTCTCAGGATCTGTGGAATTCTTTATTGCAGAGGGCTGTTGAGACTGGATCATTACGCACATTCAGGGCTAAGACAAACAGAATTTTGATCAATAAGGGAATCAAGATTTATGGGCAAAAGGCACGAAAGAGCCGTTGAGGATTATAAAATTAGCCATGATCTCACTGAATAGTGGAGCGGGGTCAATGGATTGATTGGTCTACTTCTGCTCCTACATCTTATGGTAAATAACCAAAAATTTACAATGTTGTATTGTGTCTAATTGGATTATCACACAGCTGTACTGCAAATGCCTCAACTTTTCAACTAAAACATTTGATGAAACATCAGTTAATGAGCAGAGACTTATTATTTACTAACTATGATCACTTACATTTCTGGCGCAGAGTTCACATTGTATTTTGGGGGATCCTGTATCCGTCATTTTATAACCGTCATTACAGACACAACGGAGGCCTAGAAGTGAAGTGAAAAAAATGTTATCAATGCATTAAATCAACTGAGGAGCCATATGGGATCACATTTCCATCACAAATGATCACTGTCAGAATCAGTTCTTGGATCCTCCAATTTTACTGATATTGAAAGAACTGCAAATGCTGTAAATCAGAAACAGAAACAGGAATTACTTGAAAAGCTCAGCAGGTCTGGCAGCATCTCAATATCCTTTTAAGTCAAGTCAATCAATGTCCTTTTATTGTCATGTGTGCCCCATTGTAGAAGTACAGTGAAAAATTTTCACAACGTCTGCCTTCTTACGGCGATACCTTAGGTCCAAGTACCTAGGTACAATTCTTGAATGCAGTAGAGGAATAGAAGTCAAAAAGCTGACATTTCGGTCCAGACCCTTCTTCTTTTCTGAATAAGGGTCCAGACCTGAAACGTCAGCTTTCCTGCTCCTCTGATGCTGCTTGGCCTGCTGTGTTCATCCAGCTCTACACCTTGTTATCCCAGACTTTCCAGCATCGGCAGTTCCTACTATCTCCCTAGAGGAATAGAAGTAGTTGTTTAGAGTTTTGGCAAAGATCTGTAGCTCGGGTTGTGGGTGAGGTTATTGACTTGCTCACTGAGCTGGTTAGTTTTCATTCAGACGTTTTGCCACCATGCTAGGTGACATCATCAGTGGAGCATCTGATGAAGTGATGTTGTTCTACTCCACTTGGAATTTATACTGTCCGGTCTGTTATGGTGAATAGTGTCATTTCCGGTTTTGATCTGTGTGGGTTTATATTTGGGGTCCAATTCTATGTTTGTTGATTGCATTATGGGTGGCAAACCATGCCTCTAGGAATTCCGGTGCGTGTCTATGTTTGGCTTGGGCTACTATGGTTACCTTGTCCAAGTTAAACTGATGGTCTTTGCTGTCTGAATGTACAGATATTAAGGAGAGTTCGGCATGCCGTTTTGCTGCGAGCTGATGTTCATGTATTCTGATAGCTAGTTTCCTTCCTGTCAGTCCGATGTAATGTTTGTGGCAGTCGTTGCATGGTATTTTGTAAACCACGTTGGTTCTGAGAATGGAGTCTTTAATCCTTGTAAGTGTTTGTCGTAAAGTGGGAAAACTGTTCTTTTTTTCCATTGTTCTGTCCAGATTTCAAGAATACAAGCAACAGCCAGGGCCATAACCTGAACCTGAATAAAATGCGGCAGGCAGGGTGAGAACCAGAGCAGGAAGTCAGCAAATGAAATGACTGAGGACGAGTCAGAGACTAAGGCCAGTAAGGCTAAGGGGAAGAACAGACAGGGAGAGGCTACTGAATGCGGTGTTTTAATGCGAGGAGCGTGACAGGTAAGGCAGATGAACTTAGAGCATGGATTAGTGCATATAACTATGATGTTGTAGCTACTATAGAGACTTGTTTGAGAGAGGGATAAGACCGGCAGCTTAACATTATGAGATTTATTTAAGTATTAACGTACAGAGGGATCTAGGCACACAAGTCACTTCCCTGAAAGTGGCAACAAAAGTGGATAAGGTAGTTAAGAAGGCATATGGCATGCTTGCCTTCATCAGTTGGGACATGCAGCATAAAAACTGGCAAGTGTGGCAGCTGTATAGAACTTTAGTTAGGCCACATTTGGAATATTGTGTACGTTTCTGTTCGTCACACTACCAGAATGTGGAGGCTAGGGAGAGAGTCTTGAAGTCCACCAGGATATTGCCTGGTTTGAAAGAAATTAGCTCTGAGGAAGTATTGGACAAACTCGGTCTGTTCTCACTCGAGTGCCAGAGGCTGAGTGGTGACCTGATCAAAGTTTACAAAATTATGAGAGGCATGGATAGAATGGATATCAGGGCCTTTTTCCCAGAGTAGAAATGTCAATTACTAGTGGATAGCGGTTTAAGGTAACAGGGGGAAAGTTTAAAGGAGATGTAAGCAGCAAGCTTTTTTACAAGGCGCTGCCAGAGCAGGTAGTGGAGGCAGATACAGTACCAACATTTAAGAGACATCTTGACAGATAAATGAATAGACAGGGAATATAGGGATATGGACTGCATAGAGGCGAAAGGTTTTTAGTTGAGGAAGGTGTCATGTATCAGCTCAGGCTTGGTGGCAAAAGGGCCTGTTTTTTGCTGTACTGTTCTTTGTTCTCACCAAGCCTTCTTGAAAAGCACCTGTGGCATCTACTACTGAGAAGGTCAAGGGCAGCAATGCACTGGAACATCAGCCTTTGCAAGTTCTTCTCCAAGCCGCGTATTACCCTGAATTGCAGCTGTATTGTCATTTCTTCGGTGTTGCAGGCTCAAAAATCCTGGAACTCTCAACTTGGTGATATCACAGATCTCTCGTCCCTACCTTAGCTCAACCATTGCTGGACCCCTAATTTGTGCCTTTGCTATCTATGGACTTAACTATTCGAACACTCTCCTGCCTTGCCTCCCATTTCCTAACCATCTTTCTATTCTGAAGGAGAGTCATACCACATTCAAAACATTGACTCTGTCAAACTTGCTGAGTCTCACAAATATTTTCTGTGTTTGAGTAATTGCAGGGGCTTACCAAAAAAAAACCAAATTCCAGCCATGCTGAGTGAACAAGAAACTTTAAAGTGGAAACAGGGTAATCCTTACTGAGGTTTGCTTACTTTTGTATGTAATAAATTTTGATGCCTGTTTATTTGGCAACCTCTTCTGAATATAAGCAGTCACTAAAACCACGGCAGACAAACTGCAAAAGCAAACCATATGGTCCATCAAGCCAGGTTTTATTCTGGGATCTGACTTGTCCAGTATTACCATAAGCTGGGATCATTATAGAAACCACAGGGAGATGGAGAATGGTAATCAAAAACAGAAATTGCTGGACCAGCTCAGCAGGTCTGGCAGCATCCATGAAGAGGAAATCAGAGTTAACGTTTCGGGTCCAGGGAACTTCTGAGGAAGGGTCACCCAGCCCGAAACGTTGATTTCTCTCCACAAATGCTACTACACCTGCTGAACTTGTCCAGCAATTTCTGTTTTTGTTTCTGATTTACAACATCCACATTTTTTTCCGTTTTGGAGCAAGGTAATATTGTGCTAATCTTCCTGGATTAGAAATTCAGCAGCTTGGACTAATGCTACGGAAACAGAGTTTAAATCTCACGAGGTAATGTGGATGAAATTAAATTCAATTAATTTCTATATTTGTAACAATATAATAAATAACCATGAAATCATTGCTGTTGTAACAAAAAACCCAACTAGGAATCGGTTGTCTTTAACTAGTTTGGAGATAGCCACATGTGTTTTCAGACCCATCCCAACGTGGTTGACTCTTCACTGTCCTCTAAAATGGCGTTGCAAGCCAGTAGGTAGTATGTGACTCACCCCTACTTGCTCAGGAATGATTTGAAAAGGGTTGTAAATGTTGGTCTCACACTCAGTAACAAAAAAGCCATACGGATGCACAAACCTGGTTTGGTCAGGTCTGCTCATCTTGATGAACTTTTGCCTTTATCCATATAGATGCACATTATTGCCATAGTAACCAGCACGGAGGGAGACACAGGTTACTGATCTTATGGAAATATATTCACTCAGATTGCCTTCAATGTGCACGATGTTACAGAAATGCAATAGAACATAATTCTTTCGCTTTCCTATTTTGGATGCAGACTGCAGCCCCATTGCACCAGTGCCAGAGGAAGTGTCAGGTGCCTTAAGTTGAGTTGATGATTAAGTCATTTTTAATTTGATTGAGTTCGCCATTTGTTCATATGGTTGTTTTATCCAGATTAAAATCGATTTCAAGCTAAACCACTTAAGGGTGCAGTCTTACAAAATAATTCAGAGAAAACAGGGATGGGACAGGGCCATTCTGCTCATAAAGTCTGCTCCACCATTCATCTGATCGTGGCTGATCAAAGCCATTTTCCAGCATTAACTCCATATCACTTGATATACTTAATATTTTATTGATTGCTTTCTTGAATATACCGAATGATTGAGCCTTCGCAGTGCCCTGGGGAAAGAATTCCGAAGATTTCCCCAGGAAATTCCTCCCCATCCCAGTCTGAAATGGGCTACCTTTTTTTTCTGAGATTATATCCCCTGCTCTTTACCCCCTTAGTAAGGGGAAATACCCTTCTTGCGTATAACCTGGTGTAAGAATTTTTTTTCACAACAAGATCACCTTACACCTTTCTAAACTCTCAAGTTTTGTGGAGATCCAGTCTCCTCAATGCGTCCTCACAGTACAATCTCACTATCCTAGATAAACCTATGTTGCATTCCCTCACAAATAAAACCTTCTTCAAGTAAGCAGACTTATTATTTTGATTACAAATCAATTCCCACAGCAAAAACTCAGTTTGGCGACCATGTTGGAACAAAAACTCCAATCAATACTTTTTACATGTATAGGTTTCCAAAACCTCTCCTTTGATTTAACTTACTGTTGATTGTCTGATGCAGCCAGGGAAACTAACATAATATCACATAACTATAAATGTTTAAATGCAAAGGTAAAGTAAATTACAGCAGAAAGCAAAAGTCAACATTTTGCAGATGTATGTTTTCCAAGCTCTCCTTCTATCAGTAGACTCACTTGCTTAGCTCACTTCCCTGACTTATTCAAAGAATTTGCCAACTCGTCGTCAATATTTTAAAAGGCCATGCACCGCTTGTTCTATTGCTTCATTTTAATCAAGAAAAAACAAACGACAAACATATGATTACTTAGTGTCTTTCACAACCACTGGACAAACAATTAAGTACTTTTGAACAAGAAAAAAGAAAGAAAACTCAGACTGGACTTGAAATGTTAACTCTATTTCTCTCTCCACAGATGCAGACAGACCTGCTGAGTTTCTGCAGCACTTTCTGTTTTACTTCAGATTTCTGGCCTCTACAGTTGTACTGAAGGAAACATGATAGGCAGTTCGCTCAGCTGACATTCAGCAATATGATTATACCCAGATTAGCTGCCTTTGTGAGGGATAAATATTGGTCAGAGCACCAGAGATAATTACCTTACTCTTCTGCAGAACTTAAAGAACATAAGAAATAGGAGCAGCAGTAGGCCATCTTGCCCCTCGAGACTGTTCTGCCATTCAATAAGATCATGGCTGATCTTTTCATGAACTCAGCTCCACTTCCCCACCCATTCTCCATAACCTTTAATTCCTTTACTGTTCAAAAGTCTGTCTATCTTTGCCTTAAAAA